GAAAACGATGAGGCGAATTTTTTTTAACATATTATAAGGACACGTGTCGATCGAGGCCAGCCACATGTCAGACGCTGGAGAGTGTTGGCCTCTTATTATAGTATAAATTTGATTTTTCTTTTTTTCGTCAATGGTTTTTTGTTTGGGGAATCTTTTTCCAAAAAAAACTATTGGTGAACCCTCTTCTATTATTTTTTACTGACATTCTTTCATTATCTTTTGGACCAAATTTTTTTACTTCATTGTGCAGGTATTGTGTTCATCGACATATGCTCAACCCCACTATATACTTCACGGAATGCAGCTTGGAAGATGGTATCTCTTGATTGTGGAGTTGAGTGGATATTTACAAGCAAGAGTTATATCACTCTGTATCAAGGTTCCACTTCGCACCGGTTTGTCCTTCCGACATTGGTTGTTGAAGGCCTTGCTCTTAAAGCCGCCATTGTTGCAACTTCAAAGTCCGAGATTCGAGAACTATGTTTGTTCTCTAATTCTCAATCTCTACTCACTCTTCTCATTAGCGGGGGATGTGATTATGGAGCGGAAAAGCTTTCTCTTCGACATGTGTTGTCTGCTGCGATCCTTTTCTTTTATATCCGTTTGCTTTATGTTCTTTGTTCGGGGAATGTGCCTGTAGGCTCTTGTCTAGTCTTTACTTTGTGTAAGAACTCAATCTAATTTAATGAAGAAGTTGGTTTGTCCAAAAAAAAAAAAATTACACCAACAATACGCGATATGAGTATTATAAATGGCATAATGGTCTTGTTGCCACAATCTACTAATGAACTAGTCTTCTATCGCTAAATTTTGAAGTTAGGATTTCAATAGTTGAAACAAAATTCTCCAATACATAAAATATGTGTAATTTTTTTTTGCCAGCAATTTGTATATGCCACTAAATTAATAAAAAAATTTGGAATTGATAGAAAAAACAACAAAAAGTAAGCAAAGATCCATAAGTGGTGGAGGTGAATTTGATCTACTTAACAGTGAGTTAGACTACTATAATACAAGCTGAACCTGTTATTCACCAAGAGACACGCTACCGTCTGAACCTTTTTATGAATAAGAGAAGCATGTCACGTCGTTTTTAAGTTCAAAGCAACGTTTTGAAAATCGTACCGGATTGGCGGTCCAACTGGGTTCAACCGCGAACCGGGTACTGATCCGGATTCGGTTAACTCTAAAATCCAAATTGAGTTAACCCTGTTATTGAATTGGGTTGAACCGGCAAAAATCAGGAAATCGGCGGTTCCGGAAATTGATTTAAACCCGGAAATTGAGTCTTTGATTTTAAAACTCAATAGTCGACACTATAAAATCAAGATATAAGATACGTATTAGAGAAATCATACATCTGTTCTCTTAGCTCTTTGACTAAATCACCAAAAATACTGGAATCAATTGGTTCTTAATATTTATGTGTATTTTTTATTTAGTTTTTTCAAACTTTTAAAATTATTCAAATGTTTTGTTTGATATTAGAAAAGTATAAGATTAAGTATACTAGTAATTTCAAAATATCATCAAACCCGATTGAACCCGTTCGAACCACATTTTCCCACGGTCCATATGCTTCTCTGGTTCGGTTGCCGGTGCAGTTTTAAGAACATTGGTTCAAAGTTGTTTTAGAAGTTCAATGGCTTATTTTGACCTTTTGCAAGGCAAATTCTGCTGACTTATGCTAATCGACCACATAGCCATGTGATTCATCTAATTTAGACACAAATTGTAGTATTCAGCTAATTGACCATAAAAATATTTATGTCAAATCGAGTATCGTGGACCATTGTTTCCGTTCTTTTTATATAGAACATATACGGTTTTGAGGAAGCACGTCCTAACTATGTTATCATGAGGATAAAATGAAATATTATGATCTAGACAAAATCTATCCAATTTAATCAAAAATTACTAAGCCACGGGTAACAAATTTCTTAGCACCAAACTTTCCAAGTCTCTATAGGAACTTTGAAATCTGTTTAGTGTCATCTCTCACAATTTTTCAAACCATGTAAGACTTGCCTATGAGCTTAAATGTTGCAAACTATTTGATTAAATGATTGAAGGGGTTTGAGCAAAAAAATCTAGTTCTAAGTGTTTTACGTTTTAACAATTAGTCAGTGATTAGATTATTCTACTAATTTCTTACTTATAATCTCCTTCAATTTCTTTTAAAAAACCGTGTTATCGTGTGTTATCTTGGGAGTCTCGACAGTACTACGACACATATCCTATAGATGGAAAAGTTCTCTACGTGAAAGGTACAACAAGATCACAAATCAAAAGTAATGTTGGAGTATTAAATAGTCTTGATACAATTCTTGGATTGAAAAAAAAGGAAAAAAAATCCAGCAGCTAAGATATGGCAAAGTGATGCTGATGACTGATCAAACATGTTTTTTACCATCTCGTTGCATTACTTTACATCTATGTTGTTTTGATAATTGTGATATATCTATTTCAATCTTTTTTCGCAAGACGACGATGGCTCACACATTAGAGGTCTATTGATCAATTATTTTCATCACTAGTGGTCATGTGTATTCAAAAGTAAGTTGTCCTCCTGCTAGTCTGGACTGATGAACGTTTGATTAATATGAACTCATATGGGTGACAAGCATCATATCTAGTCTTTTATGCTTTTTGTTTTGGTATGAATGTTAAGGTCCCTTATGTATTTGATCTTTTTTGTATTTACATACAACTTTCCTATGTTATATATATTTGTAAACATCCTCTTCTTTTATGCATAAGTTTGATTCCATAATTGTCAACGAAAAAATAGAATAATTTCGTTCAGAGATGCACAAGATGCGTGCATGCTAAAATCACAATGTTTTTAAGTGGTCTCTAAATGAAATGTGTAACATGCCGTGAAATTGTTACACATTTCATATCAAGAAGTACTAATTAACTCATTTAAAAAGAATGAAAAATCCATAGTTAAAATACATAAGTATCTTCTATATATTAATTGAGGAGACACTAGAGAAAAAATCGGATTATCTAGCTAAACAAGCTCTTAGTTTGAGAAATGTACCTTCGGGATAATATTAATGAAATTTAAATTTCTGATAAAAAAAAGTATCCTCTAAATATTAATTGAGGAGACACTAGAGAAAAAATCATAGGTGTCAATCAATGAGCAATTTAAGGAACACATCATTTAATTTAACCAATCAAAACATTTCAATTAAAAGTATGTGCCATGGTGGAAGTTCTCTACATCTTTTTATTAATTTTTAACATAAACTCATTTATACATATCTACACTTAAAAATATTTATACATTTCATTATTGAAAAACATATATATTTTTTGTTTTTTTATATCCGATAAATTCATATAAATTTTAGATTTATCGCATAGTCTATAATTTACATGAATAATAAAAATAAATTTTATATTTAAAATATATTAAAATAAATAATATTTGTATATATTTTGATCAATTTTATACATAAAATCATTAAAACTAATGTCATCACAATATGCTTGATCAAAATTCAATTTTATTACATTTATGCACAATATATCATTTTTGTACATTTATAAATATTAGAAATCATATATTTTGTCATACATATTTAAATACTAAAATCGATAAAAAAATATATTTAATCATTTAATCGATCAAAAATCTAGTCCAGTAGATCCGTTTGAATATTTTTCAGATAATTTGTCCACCAAGTTACCAATAAAGGCAATAACCTTAAGTTGTCTTGTCTTCCTCTTTGAAGAGTAATTAATGGGCCTAAGCCTTGGCCCATAAACTGTTCCAAGATATAAAAGTTGTCACAACTATTTAAAAATTTGCGTCATCAATTCTCATATTGTCGGCGAGTATCACTGTAAACGCGTCAGACAACGATTCGTTGCCAAAATGTTGTCCCTGTATAAATTGCAATGCAAGCTAAGTTTTTTTCGTTAAATAAACCTCTCTCTCTCTCACACATTATTCTCTGACATTGAATCAATTATTTTTATGATATCGATGATCTTCTCTAAGGACGTGATGTTTAAGATATTCCATGTGATTGATTTTGCCCATGCAGATTTGATTCGATCCGATCCGATCCGATCTGCAAAATTTATTACTTGAGAAATCTCAGGAAATAGAAGATACCCACCAAGTGTTATATATTATCGTTGATTCATATAAACGTGGACAAAGTGTTCGACGAAATGCCTCAGAGAAACCCTATGAGCTGGAAGTATGGATTCTCAGACTCTGTTCCCACAATGTGGGTATCAATACCTACACTGTTAAATGAGCTGACTTTTGTTGAAAAGATTTCGTCTTGATTTCATTATCTTTTTACTTTAATCACAAGATCAGATTTTCAACGATTACAAGTATTTTTTTTATTAGTTTATTCATTCTTTTGTACAGTTTTCTCCTCTGTGCAGGACCGGATTCTATGGTTGATCACTCATTTCACACGTGGAGTTTACGTGATATTAATGTATGCGTAAGTTTGCTAAAGTTATAGTTGTATATACACAAAACTTTGACTTCCATAGCTTCTTCTACTTCTTGTTAAGTTCTCTTTGGGTTTTTTAATTTTACAATGGTCCAAACAGGTTCTGATGACAACAAGGCGAAGTCCCTGGAGGTTGAGTTTGGTTCTGGTAATGAGAAAGAGCTTCGGTCGAAGTGGGCTACAGTTGAGAGATTACCAACTTTTAAAAGGACTACTACAACTGTTCTGTTCCAAAGTTCAAGAGATGAAACATCAGATAAAGGAAGTGCCATTGATGTTACTAAACTTGAGGCTGCTCATAGACACTTGTTAATTGAAAAGCTTGTCAAACAAATAGAGGCTGATAACTTCCGTTTACTCGGAAAAATAAGGAAGCGAATCGACGAGTAAGCCACTGCATGCCTCTAAGTTCCATGTCATAATCTCTGTTTTTGGTTCTGATTATAATGGTTTTTATCTCGAGCAATATGCATTTTCGTAACCTTTAAATCCATTGTAATTTGTAAAATGTGTAATTTGCAGAGTTGGTATAGAGTTACCAAAGGTGGAAGTGAGGTTCAGTGACCTTTCTGTTGAAGCGGAATGCGAAGTAATTCATGGAAAGCCTATCCCAACTCTTTGGAATACTATCAAGGGCATACTATCTGTAAGTACCATCAAATGTATTTGCTACATCGATTTGGATATGGAGCGCTTTGATGCTTCCATGTTCTTTAATCTTTACCTATATATTGTCCTTTGTGCTTAAAAAAAAACTTGATGGCTTTTACAGGAACTCATTTGTTCAAAGAATGAAACTAAGATAGGCATCTTGAAAGGTGTGAGCGGTATCGTAAGGCCTGGGAGGTAAGTTATTCTAATCCCTTACGTTGCAAGGAAGATGAAACAAAGGGTGATTGGCTATCTTGTGTAGTTATTATTTTCTTATAGATATTATCATCGATTTTCAAAGAGATTATTGGTTTTTCTGCAGCATGACATTATTGCTCGGTCCTCCTGGTTGTGGCAAAACCACTCTGCTACAGGCACTTTCTGGAAGACTTGCTCCTTCTGTAAAGGTTTGACCAAAGAAATTATAACATAAGCCTGTTCATCTCAAATAGTATATTTGAGATCACAAGGGTTGTACTTTGCAGGTTGGAGGAGAAGTACGTTACAATGGTTGCTTACTTTCAGAGTTTATTCCAGAGAAAACGTCGAGTTATATAAGTCAAAACGATCTGCATATTCCAGAGATGAGTGTGAGAGAGACGCTTGATTTCTCCGCGTGTTGCCAGGGCATAGGAAGCCGTATGGGTGAGGACCAAATTTCTGATAGTTCATTCTAAATGGAGGATATTTTTGTGTGTATTGAACTCACAGTTCACATTCAACAGAAACTATGAAGGAGATCAGTAGAAAGGAGAAACTCCAAGAAATCATTCCAGATCCTGATATAGATGCTTACATGAAGGTAGCTAATGAATTTTTTTAACTTCTTCTTGAAAAACTTTTTAAAATGTATGAAAACTCAATTTGTCCTCTTTACCTTTTGCTTTGGCAGGCAATATCTGTTGAAGGTCTGAAAAACAATATGCAAACTGACTATATCCTAAAGGTATGCTGCTTCAAGTGTCACTTTTCTAACCTTTTTGACCACTTATCCAGGTTCTGCATTTAATATTAACTTTATGAATCCATCTTTCAGATCCTGGGACTAGATATCTGTGCAGATACACGAGTTGGAGATGCCACTAGACCTGGAATATCTGGTGGCCAAAAGAGGAGGTTGACAACAGGTACTTTCACTTTCTTATACAACCATTGACACTCGTCTGAATCAGAGGCGTTTAAATATCTATGTCGATTACTGTAGGGGAAATCGTTGTTGGTCCAGCTACAACTCTGTTCATGGATGAAATATCGAATGGTTTGGACAGCTCAACTACGTTCCAGATAGTGTCATGTCTCCAACATTTGGCTCATATAACTGAAGCCACCATATTGATTTCACTTCTTCAGCCTGCACCAGAAACGTTTGAGCTTTTCGACGATGTGATTCTTATGGGGGAAGGAAAGATAGTTTACCATGCTCCACGAACTGATATATGTAGATTCTTTGAAGATTGTGGATTTAAGTGTCCAGAGAGAAAAGGCGTCGCTGACTTCCTCCAAGAGGTTATGTCTAGAAAAGATCAAGAACAATATTGGTGCCATAGAGACAAGCCTTACAGTTATATATCTGTTGATTTATTCATTAAGAAGTTTAAAGAATCAAATCTTGGGTTGTTGCTAAAGGAGGAACTCTCAAAGCCGTTTGATAAATCTCAGACTTGCAAAGATGGTTTATGCTCTAGAAAATACTCACTGGGTAGATGGGAGATGCTTAAAGCTTGCTCGAGGAGAGAATTTCTTTTAATGAAACGGAATTCTTTCATCTACTTGTTCAAGTCTGGACTGGTACATTTCTTTACTCTGCCAACGTTTCTTTATCGTTTACCGTTGTACTCTAACCTTTTTTCTTTATACAGTTAATTTTCAATGCATTAGTCACAATGACTGTTTTTCTACAAGCTGGAGCTACAACGGATGCTCCACATGGGAACTATCTTTTGGGTTCTCTGTTCACTGCTCTCTTTAGACTTCTTGCTGATGGGCTTCCAGAACTCACTTTGACTCTCTCCAGATTAGGAGTGTTCTGCAAACAGAAAGATTTATACTTTTATCCTGCTTGGGCATATGCAATTCCTTCAATTATCTTGAAGATACCTCTTTCGGTTGTCGATTCATTTATTTGGACATTACTGACATATTATGTCATTGGTTACAGCCCCGAGGTCGGAAGGTAAATAATTTTTTATTTTAAAGATACCTTCAACGATATTAAAATCCAAATTCAGTTGAGTAAACTGCTTCTGATGGTAAGTGTTACTCTCCTTCAGGTTCTTCCGGCATTTTCTTATCTTATTTACATTCAACCTTTCGTGTGTATCAATGTTTCGCGCTATAGCGGCAATCTTTCGCACATTTGTTGCTTCCACACTCACTGGAGGTATCTCCGTGTTACTACTCGCATTATTCGGAGGCTTCGTTATTCCGAAATGTAAGTTTCTGTTTCTTTTATCAAGTTCTGAAATATTATTTACGCATACATGCAATATTATTATCATAGTCTCACATATAAATCACTTTGGCGCCTTTCTCTTTGTAGTAACTTGTAAGAAAGTTTAAGTGTTGATTATATAGCGATGCACTTGTGAGGATTGGTACTTTGGTAGGCATCTAGTATAGGATTCGTTAATGGACCATTTACAACAATAGTCTATTTTTCAGCGTCCATGCCTGCTTGGCTGGGATGGGGATTTTGGCTTTCTCCATTGTCATATGCTGAGATTGGTCTAACCACGAATGAATTTTTCGCTCCACGGTGGCGTAAGGTAATGATTTTTCAGAATACTTGTACACAATTCTAGTAACTCTAGTATCCTGACTCACTTTATATTTTGCAATAGTTAATCTCTGGAAACACTACGGCCGGGGAACAAGTGCTAGATGTCCGTGGGTTGAATTTCGGTAGGCACTCTTACTGGACAGCTTTTGGTGGTCTAATCGGGTTTATATTGTTCTTTAATGCCCTCTACGCGTTGGCCCTGACATATCGGAATAGTAAGTTCACCACAAATAACAATCAAAATTACTTTATGAAATGCTATCCAATAAAATCATTAACAACATTGTCTCTGTAACTTAAGATCCACAACGATCCCGTGCTATTGTTTCTCATGGAAAGAACTCTCACGGCTCAGTAGAAGATTTTAAACCATGCCCTGAAACCACTTCCCGAGCTAAAACAGGTATCTCTTTTTATCATCTATGCCATCTTTCTATTTTTAACAAGTTAGTGACTAAATCTTTTCACATCTTTTGGTTTCTTTTCACAGGAAAACTTATCTTGCCTTTCAAGCCTCTCACTGTCACATTTCAAAACGTGCAGTATTATATTGAGACTCCTCAGGTGAACAATGTTTAATATCAGTATGAATGTTTTGAGACGCTTAAATTCTCAAACAGAACACTAGTTTACATGTGACTTCACGTTCCTCCTTAGGGAAAGACGCGGCAGCTTCTCTCTGATATTACAGGCGCATTGAAGCCCGGAGTTCTCACATCTCTAATGGGTGTCAGTGGAGCAGGGAAAACGACTCTTCTTGATGTCCTTTCTGGAAGGAAAACGCGCGGTATCATCAAAGGAGATATCCGAGTAGGCGGGTATCTTAAGGTTCAAGAAACATTTGCACGAGTATCGGGTTACTGTGAACAGTTTGATATTCATTCACCTAATATAACAGTGGAAGAGTCTTTGAAATATTCTGCTTGGCTTCGACTCCCCTATAACATCGATTCAAAGACCAAAAACGTAAGTAACCACACACTCAACAAGAAATTGGCAGCAATTTAATCTGACTATATTCTGGATCTGGCTTCAGGAACTTGTCAATGAAGTCCTTGAGACAGTTGAGCTTGAGGATATTAAAGATTCCATGGTGGGACTCCCTGGGATTAGTGGTTTATCCACAGAACAACGCAAGAGGCTGACTATAGCCGTGGAGCTTGTTGCTAACCCTTCCATCATATTTATGGATGAACCGACGACAGGGCTGGACGCAAGAGCCGCCGCCATTGTTATGAGAGCTGTGAAAAATGTTGCTGAGACTGGGAGAACAGTTGTTTGTACAATCCACCAGCCGAGCATAGATATCTTTGAGTCATTTGATGAGGTAAAATCGCTAAAATCGTCGATTTTAACAACATAAGCTAAACTTTGACGCACCTAACAGCGTCTTATTCCTTTAATTTCAGCTGATCCTGATGAAAAATGGGGGACAACTAGTCTACTATGGTCCTCTTGGAGAACATTCAAGTAAGGTTATCGAATACTTTGAGGTCAGTGTTCTCTACAATACTAGACTGGTTTTTACAGCTCTGTGTTTTTGATTCCACAAATAAGTTTTGGAGTATTTAATATTGACAGAGCATTCCTGGAGTTCCAAAGATCCAAAAGAATTGTAATCCAGCCACTTGGATGTTAGACATCACTTGTAAATCTGCAGAGGACAAAATTGGAATGGATTTTGCACAAGCATACAAGGATTCAACTCTGTATAAGTGAGTCTTTATGCAATCCTCNTAATCTTTGGATGTGCGCGTAAAAACTATTGTTCTCAGTACTGGTTCTTCGGTCTTTTTACTTGCAGGGAGAACAAAATGATGGTTGAGAAACTGAGTATTGCGTCTCTGGGATCGGAAGCTTTGACCTTTCCTTCGCGTTTTTCACAAACAGGTTGGGGACAACTAAAGGCGTGCCTTTGGAAACAACATTGCTCATATTGGAGAAACCCTTCACACAATCTCACTCGCGTGGTTTTCATATTGCTCACTTCTATGTTATGTGGCCTTCTCTTCTGGCAAAAAGCTAAGGACATGTAAGTGTCTCCTCTTCATTGTGTGCAAAGAATCACAGTTTTTCTTGTGATTTAGTAAACATAATTTCTCAAATTTGGAAAGTTTGCAGACATATTTGTTTACTGAATCTGTGTTTTCTTCTACTCTGCAGAAATAATCAGCAAGATCTTTTTAGCATATTTGGCTCAATGTACACTCTAGTAATCTTCTCTGGAATAAATAACTGTGCGACAGTGATGTACTTCATTGCAACCGAACGCAATGTTTTCTACCGTGAAAGGTTTGCGCGGATGTACTCCTCATGGGCATATTCAATTTCTCAGGTTAGGCTTCTTCCACTCCTATTAGATGCCTCTAATTTTCTAGGATTAGTATTCACTGGCCAAATTTCTCTCAACATGATCCAGGTATTTAATGTTTTTGCAGGTCCTAGTTGAGGTTCCATATTCACTACTCCAGTCCCTTTTATGTGCGATAATCGTATATCCTATGATCGGCTACGATATGTCGGTTTACAAAATGTTTTGGAGCTTGTACAGCATTTTCTGTTCGTTGCTCATCTTCAACTACTGCGGGATGCTTATGATTGCTTTGACACCAGACATTCACATGGCATTGACTCTACGCTCGACTTTTTTCGCAATGGTAAATCTGTTTGCTGGCTTTGTCATTCCAAAACAGGTAAGCACCCTTCTATCTCATGCCGATTTTTACGTATAGCCTTGGACTGAAATGAAGTTTCAGACTCCTGAACGCGTAAAAAATGTATATTTTTCCCGCGCAGAAAATCCCAAAATGCTGGATATGGATGTACTACCTGAGCCCGACATCGTGGGTGTTAGAAGGATTACTGAGTTCGCAGTACAGTGATATCGAAAAAGAGATAATAGTATTTGGAGAGAAGAAGAGAGTTTCAGCTTTCTTGGAAGATTACTTTGGTTACAAACATGATTCATTGGCTGTTGTAGCGTTTGTTCTCATCGCCTATCCCATTATCATAGCCTCTCTTTTCACATTTTTCATGAGCAAACTCAATTTCCAAAAGAAATAGTTTCTGTTTTCCTCCTCACCATCAAGTTTCACATTGGTCTGATACATTACAACTTAACCTTCCAATTTTGATTATCTTGTAAAGTTTGAATATGTTTTTTTTTCTTTTGGTAAGTTGATATGTAGAAATTGGGTTTCAACACGCAAAGCATCTTTTATGGTTTGGTCTAGTGGTTGTCTGGCCTATAGCTACATGTTGGTTCCTTTGTTGGTTAACATTTTTGAAACCAAACCGAAAAGTGAACTGGAAAGTTTTCCGGGTACACGGGACACAGATCTATCCGGTCCGACTGCAAACCAATAAATATTCAACTAGGATTGAGTAAAATTACCGAACTAGACCGATATAGCCAAACTCAAATCTGAACCTAATATTATAATAATCGAAACCGAATTATATTTTTATACCAAATTATCCCAACCAAATGTTAATAATATAATCGAAACCTAAAAAACAAAATTATACCGAATTCTCCAAACTAAATCTTAACAAAAATGAAATCGAAAAGAATTAACTGAATTTAACTCAAAATTTGTTTAAAAGTTTATATTTTAAAATAATAATCTGAAAAATTATGTTTAAATATACTAAAAGTCTCTTGACCAAAAAAAAAATATA